TATTTTTGAAAATATTCACGACGGTTGACGATTAGAAAAAATATTTTTAAAAAAAATCCACGACTATTTATAGTTAGCAAAAATATTGTTTAAAAAATCCACGACTGTTTATAATTAGAAAAAATATTTTTTTAAATAATCCACAACTGTTTAAAATTAGAAAACATATTTGTAAAAAAAATCCAAGACTTATGAGAATTAGAAAAAAATTTTAAAAAAGTCCACGACTTTTGATTGTTAGAAAAAAAATTTATATGAAAATCCACGACTGCTGATAATTAGAAACAAATTTTTAAAAAAATCCACGCCTGCTGATAATTGGAAAAAATATTTTCTAAAAAAATATACGACTGTAGATAATTAGAAAAAAATATTTTCTAAAAAAATCCACGACTGTTGACCATTGATTAATAAAAAAAAATATTTTTAAATAAATCCACAACTGTTGATAATTAAAAAAAATATTTTTAGAAATATTTACGACTGGTGATAGTTGGAAAAAGTATTTTTAAAAAAAATCCACGACTGCTGATAATTAGAAAAAATATTTTAAAAAAATCCACGACTATTGATAAAAAAAAATTAAAAAATCTACATCTGTCGATAATTAGAAAAAAATATTTGAAAAAAAATCTACGACTGTTGTTAATTAGAAAAAATATTTAAAAAAAAACACGTGTGGTGAATTTCCACGTCTGTTGTTAATTAAGAAATAGATGTCGATTTTTGAAAAATATTTTTTTTTTTTTCAAATAAAAATAGATATATATGTATTTTCTAAAATAAATGTTTATCAGACGTTGAATAATTTTTGTTTGATTTTTTTATAAAATTTTTCTTCCATAAAAACATAGTTTAATATTTTTCCAAAACCTAAACTTTTTTGGAAAAGAATATTTTTTTACGGTTATAGATTGAATAATTCCTATTCACAAAAATTCCCAATAATTCCAACTTCTTTGAAATCATGACGTATATCACTTTTCCTTTCATTCTTGTCACATCCGCTTTGGCGCTTAAATTCCCTCACCCTCTCATAAGCTGGCATCGAATTATATTCCGCTTAATCATCATTGAAGAGTGGTCACGACTTTTATTTATCATTGAGAGACGATTTCGGCATGCTACATGCTGGATGGCCGCTTGCCTAGCACTTCAAAGGCAAAGTGGCAAAAAATAGCAACAAAAGGTTTAAAATGATAACAAAAAAAAAAAAAATACTTCTTCCAATGATGTTAGGAATGCTTCAAAGCTTTTGTTGTTTTTGTGTTTCATTCGCACTCAAAAAAATCTCCCCAGAACATGGATGCTGTGAAATGACGTCGCTGCTGACTGGCGGGCTGACCGACTGGTCTGGTTGGTTGGTATTGACAGCATGATGATTTTTAAAGATCAAATGATTTGGAGATAATTATGAAGACAACTTCATAATGATGATGTCGATGATGATTATGATCATTATGTTTTGATGATTAATATCGAATATTATAATTATTTAATATTAATTTTGAATTAACACTTGAGAATATTATAACACATGTTCCAGAAGATGGAGAGTCATTGACGATGGGATTTCTAGGGTTTCCCAGATGTACTTGAAGTTCTTTTGAATATGTTTTTTTTATACTGATACATTATTTATGTTTGTTAGAAATACAAACAGAAATACTAGAAATTGCATATGAAAACATGTTGGGTTATTTGTTTTCTAAATATTTATTTATAAATATACTTCATAGAGAGGAGCTACACTAGTTGGGGTGGTATATTTGGTGCAAAATAATTTTTAGGAAATTTTTTAAAAAAACTTTATTTCAATTTTTTTAAATTTAATTTGATTTTTAAAAAGTATATTTTTTGAAAATCCACGACAATTGAAATTTAAAAAATCTAAAAAAAAATCTAGGGTTTTCGAAAAATTTTCTTGAAAATCTACGGCAGTTAAAATTTGAAAAAAAAACAAAAATATTTAAAAAATCTAAAAAAATTCTGGTGATTTGGAAAATATGTTTTTTTTAGAAAATTCACGGCAATTGAAATGTTGAAAAAGAATATGTTAAAAATAAAACAAAATTCTTATGATTTAAAAAATATTTTTAAAAAAATTCACGACTCTTGATAATTAGAAAAAATGTTTTTAAACAAATCCACGACTGTTGATAATTAGAAAAAAAATATTTTTAAAGAAATCTACGACTGTTCATACTTAGAAAAAATATTTAAAAAAAATCCACGACTGTTGATAATTAGAAAAAACCTTTAAAAAATCCACAACTGTTGATAAATAAAAAAAAATTTAAAAAAAAAATCCACGACTTTTGATAATTGAAAAAAATATTGTTAAAAAATCAACGACTGTTCATAATCAAAAAAATATTTAAAAGAATCGACGACTGTTAATAATTAAAAAAAAATATTTAAAAAAAAATCGCCTACTGTTGATATTAAGAAAAAATATTTAAAAAAACACTTCTTGTGAAATTTCTTAAAAAGTTTAAAATTATATATGTATTTCAAAAAAGTCTAAAAAAAATCTGGTGTTTGGAAGAATACTTCTTTTGTTAGAAATTCCACGACAATTGAACTGTTGGAAGAAAAATTATTTAAAAAAAATCTGGTGATTTGAAAAATATTTTTTAGAAAATCTACGACCTTTGAAATGTAGAAAAAAATTAAAAAAAAATTTAAAAATCCATGACTGTTGATAAATAGAAAAAATATTTTTAAAAAATCCACGACTGTTGATAAATAGAAAAAATATTTTTAAAAAATCCACGACTGTTGATAATTAGAAAAATATGTTTAAAAAACTCCACGACAGCTGATAATTAGCAAAAAATATTTTTAAAGAAACCATTTCTGGTGATTTGAAAAATATTTTTTTTTTTAGAAAATCCACGACAATTGAAATGTTGGGAGAAAAATTATTTAAAAAAATCTGGTGATTTGAAAAATATTTTTTAGAAAATCTATGGCCTTTGAAATGTCGAAAATAAATAAAAAAATATTTAAAAAAAAATCCACGACTGCTCATAATTAGAAAAATATTTACAAAAATCCAGGACTGTTGATAATTCGAAATAATATTTTTAAAAAAATCTACTATTGTCGATAATTAGAATAAATATAATAATATATAATATAATAATATTAAAAAAATATTTAAAAAAAAAATCCACCACTCTCGATGCTATGAAAAAATATTTTTTTAAATCCAGGCCTGTCGATACCCTGAAAAAATGTTTTTAGAGAATCCAAGTGTGTTGATAATTGGAAAATATTTTTTAAAAAATCCACGACTGTTGATAATACGAAAAAATATTTTTAAAAAAATCTACGACTGTTGATAATTAGAGAAGATATTTTTAAAAAATCGACGACCTATGAAATCTAGAAAAAAAATTAAAAAAAATCCACAATTGTTGATAATTAGAAAAAATATATTTAAAAAAATCCACGACTGTTGATATTTAGAAAAAAAATTAAAAAAAAATCCACAACGGTTGATAATTAGAAAAAAATATTTTTAGAAAATCCGCGACCTTTGAAATGTAGAAAAAAATATTTTTAGAAAATCCGCGACCTTTGAAATGTAGACAAAAATATTTTTAAAAAAATCCACGACTTTTGATAATAATACTTGAACATATTTTAAAAAATCCACGACTGTTGATAATTAGAAAAAATATTTTTAAAAAAATCCACGACTCTTGATAATTGAAAAAATATTTTAAAAAAATCCACAACTGTTGATAATTAGAAAAAAATATATTAAAAAAAAACCACGACAGTTGATAATTAGAAAAAATATTTAAAAAAAAAAATCCACGACTGTTGATAAGTAGAAAAAATATATCTTAAAAAATTCACGTCCATTGATAATTGAAAAAAATATTTTTAAAAAACTCTATTGAGAATTGAAAAAAAATATTTTTAAAAAAATCCACGTCTGCTGATAACTGGAAAAATATTTTTTTTAGAAAATCCACGTCTGTTGATAGTTGGAAAAAATATTTTTTTAGAAAATCCACGTCTGTTGATAGTTGGAAAAAATATTTGTTAGATAATCCACGTCTGTTGATAATTGGAAAAAATATTTTTTAGAAAATCCACGTCTGTTATAATTGGAAAAAAAATATTTTCAAAAAAAAAAAAAAAAAAAAATCCAGGTTTATTCAGAATTAAAAAAAAAAAATTAGAAAATCCACGGCAGTTGATAATTGCAAAATTGATAATTGAAAAAAAATATTTTTTAAAAAATCCAAGTTTGTTGATAATTGAAAAAATAATTTTTAAAAAATCTACATCTGTTGATAATAGAGAAAATATTTTTTAGGAAATCCACGTCTATAGATAATTGGAAAAATATTTTTTAGAAAATCCACGTCTGTTGATAATTGGAAAAATATTTTTTTTTAAATAATCCAGGTCTGTTGAAAATTGGAAAAAAATTTTTTTAAATAATCCACATTTATTGATAATTGGAAAAACATTTTATAAAAAATCTACGACTGTTGATAATTGAAAAAAATATTTTTTCAGAAAATCACGCCTGTTGATAATTGAAAAAATATTTTTTAGAAAATCCTCGTCTGCTGATAATTGAAAAAAATATCTTTTAGAAAATTCACGTCTGTTGATAATTGGAAAAAAATATTTCTTAGAAAATCCACATCTGCTGATAGTTGGAAAAAATATTTTTTAGAAAATCCACGTCTGTTGATAATTGGAAAAATATTTTTAAAAAAATCTACGTCAATTTAGAATTGCAAAAAATATTTTTACAAAAATCCACGTCTTTTGAAAATTGGAAAAAATATTTTTAAAAAATCCACGTCGTATTGTATATATTTTAAAAAATCCGATCTCTCTATGTCCACATACACCCATTATAGCGTACCTTCATTGAAGTGTTTTTATTTTCATTGCCGCTAAACCAAAACAAACATACCGCGTTTTCAAAATCAATGATTTATTGACTCTCTTTAGGCAACGAGATCGAAAATAGTCAACAAAAACGCCCAGCATCAAACCGCAGCAGTTAGACGTGCACACGATTAGTTGTCGAACGAGCGGAGATCCGAAAACATGTTGCAGTCTGGCATGAAACTAAAGGTGTCGAATCACATTCAAATCAATATTCTTGTTTTCAAATATTGATTTTTGTTTTTTTTTTTTATCGAAATTTGTTTATAGATTTTATTTATTTTTGCCATAAACTTGGGCAATTATCGCCTGATTTTAAGTGAAACGGAAAATTATGATTTGCAGCTGGGACGCATACGGACGGAGGAGGTGCAATTGGAGCCATTGGGGAATAATCAATATGGATTTGAGTGAGTTTTGAAACATACATTTTTGTTTAATTTTTCAAATATTTTTAAAGAATCAAATCTATTTTTAGAATCTCCTTGCCGGACAGTGAACGCAAAGAGGTAATTTCTCTGGAACCCAGCTCTGTGGAGGGCGAATCCCCGGTTGTCACCACCAAGGGAGAGATCACCACAAATTTCCTCAAGGATAACTCAAATCTGGTGGTTAACTATGTGGCGGACCATAATGGCTATAGGGCCTCGTATCGTTTCGGCAAAGGCCTCAACGACGATTTGGGAATCACGTTTGGCATTCGCTTGAATGCCAGAGATTTGAAAAGTTTGACTGGCTGAAGTCATCAATGGAATTTGTTTTTTTTTAGTTTTATTTTTATTTTTTGTTTTGTAGTCTTCCGCATAGTTAAGATAATTATCGTTAAGTGCAATGTGATTATAGATAAGTTTTTTAGAGTGAAAAACAATTAAGGTTTTAATAATAATAATAACAAAAATATTGAAACAAAAAAAGTAAAATAAATATAATTAAAAAAATGATTGCTTATTATAGATTTAAAAAAAATGTTTTTTTTTTTCAGAATCAATCGGTTTTATTATTCGCTGATCATTGTGGAGTCCCTCCCGTGTTCCAAATCAAGTTACATAACATGAATATACCCACAACTTCCAAAGATATGGCCTCTGTACTATGGGCGCAAAAAATATATTCAAAAATCCTTAACACAAGCAACATTGACATTTTTCCCATATCTCGGGTAATTGGTTAGATATCCCATCAATATTATTTTTATTTTTAGCAGAGAACTTCCTCTTTCTAGTGGAGTTGATATTTTGAAAATAATCTGAGTACGTTTAAAAATATGACCCCCTGAAAATGATAGAGGGAAAATGTTCAATATTGAAAAAGATTGAGTAATATGAATATTTTGCCGATATCTCGGGTAATTTGTCAGATATCCCAGCAATATTTTTTCGGTTTATGGAAGAGATATTACTCATTCCTATGGAATTTATATTTTGAATATAAATGGAGTACCTTCGAAAATATGGCCCCCTAAAAATGATAGAGGAAAAATGTTTAACTGTTGAAAGTCTTAAATAAGATTAATATTTTGACGATATCTCGGGTAATTGCTCAGATATCCCACCAATATTATTTTGGTTTATAGCAGAAGCTTTCCTATTCCTATGGACTTTATATTTTAAAAATAAATGGGGTACTTTGGAAATTATGACCCCCTGAAAATGATAGATAAAAAATTGTTAACATTTAAAAGGCTTGAGTTAGATTAATGTTTTGCCGATATCTCGGGTACTTTATCAGATATCCCAGCAATATAATTTTAGTTTATAAAAGACAATACTCATTCCAATTCAATTTACACTTTATAAATAAACGGAGTACTTTCGAAAATATGGCCCCCCAATAATTATAGACGAAAAATGTTCAACATTTGAAAAACTTGAGTAAGATTAATATTTCGCTGATATCTCGGGTAATTCATCAGATATCCCGCCAATATTATTTCGATTTATAGCAGAGGCATTCTTCATTCCAATTCAATTTATATTTAAAAAAAAATGGAGTACTTTGGAAATTATGATCTCCTGAAAATGAGAGATGAAAAAATGTTCAACATTCGAAAAACTTGGGTAAGATTAATATTTTGACGATATCTCGGTTAATTTCTCAAATATCGAAAAAATATTTTTTCGGTTTATAGCAGAGACATTCCTCATTCCACTGAAGTTTATATTTAAAAAATCGTCTGAGTACTTTCGAAAATATGGCCCCCTGAAAATGATATAGGAAAAATGTTCAACATTGGAAAAGTTTAAGTAAGTTTAATATTTTTCCCATATCTCGGGTAATTGCTCAGATATTCCACCAATGTTATTTTGGTTTATAGCAGCGACATTCCTAATTCTAGCGGAGTTTACAGTTTTAAAATAGATGGAGTACTTTCGAAAATATGGCTCCCTAAAAATGATAGAGGAAAAATGTTTAACATTTGAAAGGCTTGAGTAGGTTTAATATTTTAACCATATCTCGGGTAATTGCTCAGATATCCCACCAACATTATTTTGGTTTATAGTAGAGACATTCCGCATTCCCCTGGAGTTTATATTTAAAAAATAGTCTGAGTACTTTCGAAAATATGGCCCCCTGAAAATGATAAAGGAAAAATGTTCAACATTGGAAAAGTTTAAGTAAGTTTAATATTTTTCCCATATCTCGGGTAATTGTTCCGATAACCCAGATATCTTATTTTTGTTTTTAGAAGAGACATTCCTCATTCTAATGAAACTTATAATTTAAAAATAAACGGAGTACTTTCAAAATTATGACCTTTAGAATATGGGTACCGAAAAAATCTTAAAAATGTTAAATTTCGAGAATTTATGTTATTTGTTCCTATAACTTTAGCATTCGCTGAGATATTTTTATATTTTTACTTCTGTTTTTACGGAGAATAAGTATCGTTAAAATTCCGCTTGTTTTGCAGAGATATACCGATTACTTTAAAAGTTATGGTATCGTGAATATCATTACCCGAAAATGTAAGTAATTGACTAATTCGAATATGTGTGAATATTTGTCAATACCTCAGGTATTTTGTGAGATATTTTACGATAATTTTTTGAGTTTATAGCTCAGATGCATCTTATTACAATCCTGTTTATTGCACCCAAATATATCGATTACTTTCTAAGATATGGGCAATCGAAATTCTATGCGGAGAAAATATTCAGAACTAAAAAATTCAAGCGATTATGTATTTCTTTCAATATCTTTGGTATTTACTGAGATATATCCATAAGTTTTTTTTTTGGTTTTTACCCAAGATGCTCCCTGTTAAAATTCTAGTTAAAGTATAAAAATATACTGATTACTTTAAAAGTTATGCCATCAAGAATATGATTACTGAGAAAATGTAGGGAATTGGTAATTTTTTTTTGCTGCGTATTATTTCCTATATCTCTAGTATTTGTTGAGATATTTCAACATAATTTGTATCGCTTATAGTATATATGTTTCTTATTGGTACTCGTTTAATTTGACTCCAAAGTTCCGATTACTTTTAAAGTTATGGCCCATAGAATATGGGTACCAAAAAAATTTACAATTTTTAAATTTTCGGATTTTTTATAATTTCCCTAATATCTCCAGTACTATATGAGGTATTTTAATAAGTTTACATTTGCTGTCCACGTGGAAGCTAACTATTGAAACTCAAGTTGTGTCGTAGAATTGTACCGATTACTTTAGAAGTTATGGCATCTAAAATATGATAACTGAAAAAATGTAAAGAACAGGAAGCTTTTTGTTCTGGCGAATTATAGTCAATATCTCTGTTATTTGATAAGATATTGTAGAACTTCTTTTTGGTTTATTGTTAAGATGTTTGCCAATAACACCCATTTTATTTCGTGCAAATATATCGATTACTTTCAAAGTTATGGTCCATCGAATATGGTTACCGAGAAATGTTTACATTTTTAAAAATTCGACCATTTGTATATTTCTCTTTATATCTTTTATATTTACTGAGATATCTCCAAAAAATTATTTCGATTTTTAGATGAGATGTTTCCCATCCAAATACAATTTATCGCATTGGAATGTGCCAATTACTTAAGTAGCTATGCTATCGAAAAAATGATGACTGGTAAAATATAAGAATTGGGTCGTTTTTGGCACTTGTCAATTGTTATCAATATCTCAGGTATTTAACGAGATATATCAACATATATTTTTCAAGTTATATCTGAGGTATCTCCTAGTATTACTCGTTTTATTTTACTAAAAAATATAGGTTACTTTTAAAGTAGTGGCCCATAGAACATGGTTAGCGAGAAATGTCTACAATTTTAAAAAATCGAGCATTTGCGTATTTCACCCCACATCTTTTATATTTACGGAGTTATCTCCAAAAAATAATTTCGATTTTTAGGTGAGAGGTTACTCGTTTACATTCAAGTTACTGCATTGAAATCTACCGCTTACTTAAGAAGTTATGGTATCGAGAAAACGATAACTGGACAAAGGCAAGAATTGATTAGTTTTTGGTACTTGTCAATTGTTAGGAATATCTCGGGAGTTTAGTGAGATATTTTTGCATATATTTTTGGATTTGTAGCTGAGATACATCCTAATCTAACACATTTTATTTTATGAAAATCTAACAATTGCTTTTAAAGTTATGGCCCATGGAATATGGTTACCAAGAAATATTTAAAATTTCAATATATCCGGAATTGTAATATTTATCTCAATATCTCTGGTGGTATATGAGTTATTTCAATAATTTTATATTTTTTGGTCAGGAGGAAACTAACTGTTTACACTCGAGAAATTATAGCAATTTGTACCGATTACTTTAAAAGTTATGACATCGAGTATATGATTACCGGAAAAATGTAAGGAATTGAAAAATTGTGGTACTTGTAAATTATAAACAATATCTCTGGTATTTGTCGAGATATCGTATTATATTTTTTTTTTCAGATTATGGTTGACACATATCCGACTATAAATCATTTTACTTTTTCTATATTAACCGATTTTTTTTAAAATTATGGCCCATGGCATATGGTTACCAAGGAAAGTTGAAAATTTTAAAATTTCGGAAATTTTAATATTCTTTCATAATATCTCTGGTACTATATGAGGTATGCCAATAAATTTATATTTTTGGTTCAGAAGGAAGCTAACTGTTTACACTCAAGAAATTATAACAATTTCTACCGATTACTTTAATAGTTATGACATCAAGTATATGATTACTTTAAAAATGTAAGGAATTAAAAATTTGTGGTACTTGTAAATTATAATCAATATCTCTGGTATCTTTCGCGATATGGTATTATTATTTTTTCGGTTTATAGCTGACACATATACCAATATAACCTATTTTATTTTTTTAAATTTACCAATTACTTTCAAAGTTATGGCCCACTGAAAATGCTTGCGGACAATTTTTGAAAATTTTAAAACTTTTAGTATTGGTGTATTTTTCCCATATCTTTGGGATTTATGGAGATATATCCATAAATTTATTTTGATTTTAAGCGAAGATGTTTGCCATTCAAATGCAAGTTACTGCATACAAATATACCGATTACTTTAAAAGTTATGACATCGAATATATGATTACTTGAAAAATGTAAGGAATTAAAAATTTGTGGTACATGTAAATTGTAAACAATATCTCTGGTATTTGTCGAGATATTGTGTTATAATTTTTTCGGTTTATAGCTGACACATATGTCACTAAAAATCATTTTACCTTTTCTAAATTTACCGATTACTTTCAAAGTTATGGCCCATTGAAAATGCTTACGGAAAATTTTTTGAAAATGTTTAAAATTTGAGTATTGGTGTATTTTTCCCATATCTTTGGGATTTATGGAGATATATCCATAAGTTTATTTTTGTTTTAAGTGAACATGTTTGCCATTCAAAT